TAGAAGCGCTCCTTATGCCGGGAATGTAAAGCCGAGTCTCTCCTTAGAAGTGCCTGTGGTGGAAGCACCAGTCTGCAGGTTCAAAGTCCAGTGCTTTAGCTGCTGTGCCACCAGAGTGCCTTAAAATCATCACCCGAAAAACCCAAACTGCCTGCCAGTGAGTCAACGCCAACTCGTAGCGATGCCAATAGGACAGGGTAATGTGGGTCTCCTGAAACTAGCCCAAGGAAGGCCTAGGTAGTTCATAAAGAGGGCCTGGCCCTCTCAGGGGACCTCTCTGCCTTCCTTACCTTCCTAGGGGGCCTCATAATACTTTTGTGTGTGCTTCTGTTTTGCTAATTGATTTTAGTATTATTTATTTTGACTCATTTCACAATAGTTGAATGGATGGATTGCCTTGCTTTTCCAAACCATTCCTAGACCACTGGATCTGTCCACGTGGCGTTGGATTACCCCAAGCACAGTCAACACAGCTGACTCCTGCTTATCTGCTCACTTTCCCCACTAACTGCCTTGAAGCTCCAACTCCTGGGGCCGGTTGGCATCCGCCGCTCTCCTGACCCACAGCCCTTTCCACCAAACTCAATTGTCTTATTCAATTTACAGTTTCTTATAAAGACAGAGCCCCAATAAGCACAGCAAGCACAGACTTCCCTGTGCTTCTTGCCAATTTACGGTGCCCGGTGCTTCCCGCCACGCCTTCCTCGTGCTCGTCCTGCGAGCTGGGCGCTCTGTCCCTGGCTCCGTGGAATAGGTGATTGCCAGTAACCTGGCCGCGATGCCTTTCTTTGTGTGGGCTTTTCTTTCCTTTGAATTATTCCCGCCGAGGCATTTTCAGATGTGAAATAACTGTGGGTGGGGGGGAGGCGTAGACGTCTCTTGATGCCCCTTGGCACCATTTTGAGCCACAGCTGTGGCCTTCTGTGCCACGGCCATCTCTAGGGGGTGCTTACATGTTCAACATACATAATCACATACAGGTCCCATTTAAAAATGAGGCTATGGGGCCTTAGGCATACGTACTTGCCCTGTTTTTGCTGATCGCTTCAGAGAACTTGCTTTGATTTCAGGTGAGCGGATGTTCATCAGGAGAGCATTGCCCAAGTAATGTGGGGCTTGCTGTTTGCATAGCAGGATTCTTGCCTGGCTACGCATGTTATCATTTTTGCCTGAAAAAGACAGTGTTTGGGATTATTGCCCAGTGTCAGAATAATATTCAAGGTGTTAAGATTTCTTTAATGTGGCTCGTTTAAGAAGAGCAATAAAGTAATAATGGTAACTTAATGTTTTTATAAGGGGCTCTGGTGGCCATGTGGCTGTTAGCCACAAGGCAGCAGTTCAAACCCACGAACTGCTCTTTGGCAGAAAGCTGAGGCTGTCTGCTCCCGTACTGAACGGGGCTGCTATCAATCGGAATCAACTCAATGGCAATGGCTATGGGTTTTTTTTTATTTTGTCTTTGCTACTCTTTTAAGACCCTCCCATATAGTAACTAATTTAATTCTTGCAGCCACCTTAGGACAGAGGTACCCTTTTATTTCCATTTTACAGGTGAAGGCACAAAAGTTTTTGTCAGGTGATTTGGTTCATGGTGTCTACCCATCTCGTTCACACCACTTTCCCTTTGCATTTCAGTTGGATTTACTTCTGATCCGCTCCTCTCCCCCTCTCCTGTATACTCCATTTTGAACACTCCTTCCTTCGCCGTAATAACCCCAAACAAAACCCACTGCCAGCCAGCTGATTCCACCTCATAGCAACCCTGTATAGATTTTTGAGGCTGTAAATAATTATGGGAGCAGACTGCCTCATCGTTTTCCCTTGGAGCAGGAACTGGGTTTGAACCACCAACCTGTGGCTAGCGGTGTAATGGTTGTCTTTGACAAAATGTCCAACAGGGAAGGAATAGTGTTAGCACTTTACATGTGAAGAGTCCTTGAGCCGCCAGAACCTGTCAAAACCCAAGGTCACTCTTGCTGTGCAGGTACCCACCCTCTCTCCGCAGAGTCCTATTCTGGTCTTGTTCTACCTCCTTATCCCAGCCACTGGCTTGTCTTGCATGATAGGCAGTTGAGCGATCTTAATTTAGGGTTTGTGGGTCCTGAGCCCCCATGTGGTTGGCAGCCAGTGACCATTTTTCAGTCCCCAGGCCTGGCTCCCAGGAGGTGCTTTGATGCTGTTCCTTCATGCTGGTGGTGGGGTGGTGTAGACCTGATGCACTCCTGGCCATTTGGGGTGGGCTGCTTCCCGGCCCAATCCAGGCACAGCCTCCACTTCCACAGAACATACCCTGTGCTGTTGCGAGTTGGGCTGTAAGGCCAGTGGTCGGAAACCATCGGCCAGAGCTATGTGGGAGAAATACAAGAGAAGGCATTCCACTCCTGCGAAGAGTTACAGTTTCAGAAGCTTGCAGGACAGTTCTATCCTGTTGTAAAGAGGGTCACTGTGAGTCTGCGTTGACTCCTAGGTGGTGAAGTCGGGTTTAGTGAAGGCCAGTGATAAATGGGAATGTGCCTTTGATGGGCTAGCTCCATCAGTGAAGACAGGGCGGTGTGACATCAATCAGAGCTCGCCCTCGAATACCATCCCTTTCTTTTTCGGGTGTTACCATCTAGATCCACATTGGATTTGCTCTCGTTGGAGGTTCTAGGATTAAGGGGTGACAGTAACCACCCTATTTACAATTTTAACCAAATAGTACCGTTTCCTGGAGGTACTTGTTTCCACAAGGATCTATTTAAAATTATTCAGCATTACGAAGACTTTGTGACATTTTTATGCACCCACAGCCTCAATTTCCAGTTTTCAAGAAGACTTAGGGTGTGGGTGTGCTTTGCTGAACTTTCACAAACCCACATTTTTGTGAGGCAGGGATTTAGTCTGCCTGGTTGGGAGGACATGTGGATCCTCAGTCAAAAAGTCACAAGGCAGGGCCTGGTTGGGTTACTCGGCTCAGGCCCTCTCTCCAAGCTTCACACTATTACAGTGAGGATGAGAGGGAACCAGGTCTTGTTCAAGGAAAAGGAAGGACAACACTGACCATTGCCTTTGGGGGTCCCCCACTTCAGTGGGAGTGGCTTTCACACTGCTCAGCCTCTGTCCGATGCCCTCTGTTTCTCTGATAACTCAACCAGCCAAATGATGGTTTAAGGATTGAATGTGGTTGTATGTGTAAAGGAAATGCTTTGAAAAGTTCAAGATGACCCTGCTTATGTTCAAAAACAGCCCGCTTAGTTTTATGCACTGGAACTTGAAAGCTTAGAGCAGATCAGCTGAGCTTCAGAAGGAAAAAGGCAGGACTTTTTAGTGTGTGATTATGTCTCAATCGTGAAGGCTTTTCAAATGCAAGTTGTAGTCCAACTTGCTTTTGGTTATTTGGTTTTTGGGCTCTACCAAATTACATGATGTTTTCTGTTTGGCCTTTGTTTGCTTGGATTGGAGGGGAGGATTCCAACTGGGGAAGGTGAACAGCTACTTCCACAATCATGACAAAATAGAGGATATTTCACATTTTGTTCATTCTGTGGTCTGGCTCAAACATGGCCAGTGTTTGGAAGGAATTAAGGTTAAATGAGGTAGCTATTAAAACAGAACTTATGCATGCGTGGGCTAATTTTCCATGAAGTCAGGGCTCAACAATTTCATTCATCAGACCATGTTGGGTATAGCATTCATCTTTAGACTTTGACAGCGCTGAGGCCTTCTGGCTCTGGTGTGTGTGTGTGTGTGTGTGTGTGTGTACGTGTATGTATGTGTATGTGTGCGCTAATGCATGGTTGTAGGTGTGCCTGTGCAGGCAAGTATGAGGGGCTTCAAAAGTTGGTGGGGAAATATTGCCTTTAAATTTCATTTTCATGAGTCGTGAACTTTTATCTCTTCTCTGTACCTGTGGTGCATGCTCCGGTCTAGTCCAAAGTGAGATGCAGTACTGGGGTCATGATAGTGGGGTCGGGGTGGGGAAGCCTCAAGGAACCAGAGGAGGAATATTGCATGTTTCATTGGTGCTTCACAGCACCCTGGTTAACTTATCCTTTCCCTGTGATCCCTGTGTTGGGTGTCTCATTGTCTAGAGATGGACTTTGGGTCTCTGCTCTGACCTTCCTCGAGCTCAAGACACACTGAATTCAGGAACAGGAATAGCAATACCAGAAGGGTGGGGGAAACGGGGAGAAGAGGGGAGGAAGGGGGGCGTACCAATAGCAATTATTGACACATATCCACCCCCTACCCTCTTCAGAGGGATGAACAACAGAAACCATGGGGGAGACAGAGGACAGTGTAAGATATGAAAATAAAAATAATTTGTTATTTAGCAAGGGGTCACAAGGGTGGTAGGGAGGGTGGAAAAAGGGGGAGCTGATATCAAGGGCTCAATAGAAAGTAAATGTCTAGAAAGGAATGATGGCAACCTATGTTCAAATATGCTTGATATAATTGATGTATGGATTGTCATAAGAGTCATAAGAACCCCCGCTGTAAAATGATCTTAAAAAAAAATTCCACTTTCAGACAGTTGGAAGCCCCTCGCCCATGTGTGACGCCTGCAAGTGTACATGTGTGCGTGTGGGTTCTAAGTAGGTGCGGTGCGGGCAGCGCCCCCACAGTTTAGCATTTTGAAATGATTAGATTAGTGTGCCTCATACAGGCCCATTTACCTGCCATACCCAGTGTCGTTTGCTGGCGCTTTTGGCAACTAAAAACCTTCCAGGTCCCCTTTGTACTTTTTCCATTTTTCAATCCTGCCGGCAGCTCCCGCCACGGATTCTAAAGTTAACAAGCTATGTGTCTGAGTGGTGGGCCAGTGGTCGGCCAGTGGCGGTGGGCCACCCAGCGCGATCCCCCAGCTTCCTGGGGGTGCTGGGGGTGCTCCTGGCCTCACTTGGCGTGTGCACATTGGGAGAGATGCACGCCCGTGTGTCCAGCCGGCAGGGTGGTCTAGGTACGGTAGCAACTTTCTCGGTAACGCTCTCTTCTTCCCTCTGACCCCCTCGTCCTGCCAGGCAGGTGCCTCCTCAGTGATGTCTGGCCCAGGAGAGACCCCCAACCCCGAGACCAGCGAACTCAAATACTCCGCTCCAGACGGGCTGTACATAGGGGTCAGCCTGGCCTCCCCGGCGGAAGTGACGTCCTCGGTGCGGCAGGATTCTTGGTGCGCTCTGGCGCTGGCCTGAGCCTGCGGTCACAGACAGGAAGTGGGGGGCACCCGCCACGGGCCTCACGACGACGTTGGTATGACTTCATCGAGCAGTCCAAACTGAACGCCGACGGAACATTCCCCGACGGCGTCCTTTCCGTGCCTTTATTCCGAACGACATGTCATTTCCCAGAGGCGCGCGCCTCCGCCGGACCGGCCAGCCCTCCCCTCCGAGCGGAGGGATAGGCCAGCGCAGCCCCAGAGCACGCGGCCTCCGCCCTTTGCCAGACCCTGGTGCTGCCAGCCTGCCCCGGGCTCCCTCCAGCCGGGCTTGGTGCCTGTGCGTCACTTCCGGGAAGCAGGACGGGGCGGGGCCTCCCCTGCTAAGGACCCTTGAGAGAGATTGTTAGGAAACCTTTGATGTGTAGTGTCTCAGATCATTTGCCTTCTGGTCGATTTGGGTTATTCACGGATTTCCTCATACCTTGACCACATCCAAATGCCACCTGTGCTCACGGAGAAGATTCTTCGAGGCCGTTTGTACACACCTGGAGGTTGCGTGGGTTCTTGAGGGCTCTTGTCAAAAACCGTGCCTCGCTTGGCCAGACTGCATCATACCATTAACATACACCGTGACTGAATGTCCTCAAAGTTCACAGCGCGTGGCTGGTCTCAAGTCCGCCGGAATTTGTAAACAGGGTAGCAAACAAGATATTTTTCTTCCATGTATACAATCATTTTTTTAAGTGCAATTTGCGTTGCAGCAATCCAGTGTTAAATCATTTACATAAGATTTAACAACATTTTTTTTATAATGAATGTAAACATTTTAACTTAATGGTACTTAAATAATTTAAAAGAAAAATGTTAACTTAGACATTCTTATGCTTCTTTTACAACTACATCCCATTTCTATCTTTCCAATTGTTGAAAATATTTCAAGAACAAATCTTCTCTCAGGAAAATTGCCTTGCTCCATTTGTTAAGAATTTTTATACAAGACCACCAATAGGCCCCCTTTATTTTACTGTGGAATATGTGCTGGAAAGATTGCAACAAAACTACAACCTAACAGATAACATTTGTATATACGCTGAGATATCCGGGCATCTTTAAACACTATGATGAAGTCTGTATATTGTGACCAACCCACGGGCAGGTTGGCTTACATGAATTTTTTTTTAAATGGGATGTCATATGGAAACCGATTTCACCAGAGTTTTAAAAATAATAAAAAAAAAAAACCAAGGGTGTTGTTTTATCTCTGGACATCATGTTTCTCCCCTTTCCGTTTCATTTTGATGCATATGTTTGTGTGGCCGTAGACAGTGTGCAAAATAAGCCTGGTGACGGTTGCTCGCTGCCACAGCCTGTCCTTTCAAAGAGTGGTCCTTTGGAAGCGCTTTGAATACGTGTGGCTTCTTCGAAGTTGCCACGTGGGGGTTAGTTGTCGCTTTCCGTTTGCACTTGAAGTGATTTGACCAGTCTGGTTTTTCTTCATGGGCTGGATTTCCGGAAACCAGGAGGCTATTTTACAATATGAAATGTTGGCTCGCTGAGCATGTGGTATTTTACACTGTTTTTTCATTCACTTCAGTCATTGTCCAAACTGGAGCTCGGGTGAAAGGCTGTCAAAAGGGACATCTTTAGGGATGGTGGATCCCTCTCTCTGTTGGTAATGATGAGTCAAAAAAAGTTTACTCCTTTGGCAAGACTGCATTAGGGTTGCTGTGTATCTGGGGAATCCACTGGCACTCACACATACTGGTTATCATGTGGGCTAGAATTAAGTTGGGCCTGGGGTCTCACTAGGCCTCAGCTTGGTCATGGACTAGCATGGCTCTGTGGCTTTGGGTAGTTTACCAGATCTTCTTTTTCTAATCTGTAAAGTGGAGCAGCAAATTGAGATAGTTCATGTAAAGTGTCCATTCCCATAGTCTTGGGTCACAGTAAGCACTCACCAAGTTAATCGACTTTGGGAATGGGCAATAGGGGTTCCTACAGCATGAAGGATTTGAGTAAGGCCTTAATTTCAATAATCAGAAGTCGGTCTGTTGGCACCTGATGGGGGGGAGGGGGCTACAGAGGGAGGGTGTATTCCTTGGAGAGATCTGAGCTGATGTTGCTTTGAAGAAGGAGGCTGGCTAACAGGATAAAAGCTCTTCCCACTACCTGATTCTTGTCCCCCTTTCCTCTGACGGTTCTCATGACAAGTTGTCCGTTTTCTGGTGTACTGGGGGTTATTAGAGTTAACATGCTTTGATTAGAAAAGGAAATTGTCTTATTGGCACTTCCAAATAGTCTTTTCCTCCTAAGCATGGTCTCAAATTCTGATGCTTGCAATTCTAAGCCAACGAAGTGTGCTGCTGCTTCCTTTTCGAAGTAGAAGAATTTTCATCTTCATGAAGTGAATTAAAAGAGGCAGAGAGAAAGGAAGAGCATGTCCATCCGAACCAAGAACCTGTTAATCTGGACGGCTCACATGATGGCTTTTATACATATGGGTGTATAGAGCAGAAATCTGATTTTTTCCCCCCAAATACACTATCTCGATACTCCTGTATTAAATGTGACATCAAAACAAAACACAAGTCATTCATTTCTTAATAGATCTTAGTCTTTAATATGTGTGGCCCACCTCAGTTTAAAGAATCCTCAGACCTATTTCTGTGGCCCGCAGGATGAATGTCCCCTGTTCCCCATGACCGGTTTTTGGCCATCTTATTTGAGTGAAGACCCAGTCTTGGGTCTCTCCTCAGGGTCACGTAATGTTGCTTGGTGTCTATGGGAGGGTCAGGAAGGCAGAGGGAGCCATTCATTTCCCCCTGCAAATAAATTCATTTCTTGTTCATGGGAAGTGTTTTCCCTGGTCCTTGGAAATTTGATGTGATTTCAGATCACAGATTCATGAGCTGCTGGGAGGGTCATGCAACACATCTTTGGTGGCCATGCCAGGTCCCAGACTCCTTCCAGTGTGGTCCAACGTGTGACAAGTGTGCTGAATTCACATTACAGCACCTTTCACCTGTGGGGTCTGTGGATGCCTTCAGATCTGAGACGGGACTCTGTGTATGTGTGGAATGGGTTGTGAGTGGGTAAAAGGGAAGAGATCAAACACTTATTTAGATTCTAGAATAACTCCTGGTGTATTCATGTGGCTTGTTAATATAATTAGTTGAAGTTATATTAATTCCATTTGGGGGAGAAGAGTTAACTACTGAGAGGTGGAAACTCAAATTAGCAGTCAGATACTCATTTCATTAGTATAAGCAGGAGAAACTTGGATAAGAGTCAGACTAAATATTTTTGAGATGGGGGTCTGTGGGTAAGACTTGGAACCCCTTCACTCACTGCCATCAAGTGCATCCTGACTGCTAACTGCAAGGTCAGCAGTTTGAAACCAGCCAAAATGAGGCCTTCTAGTCCCATGAACAGTTTCATGTCAAAAGATGAGGCTTTCTACTCCCACAAGCAGCCAGAGTCTCAGATATGCACAGGCCACTTCTTTCCTCTCTCCCCTGCAGGTTCGCTATGAGTTGGAACCCACAGTTCTGGAGGTCTCGGGGTGGGCTCTGTGCCACTGAACTTTCAGTGGTTGGATCCAAAGCAGGTCGCTTTGCTAATCTCTGGGTGGAAAACGGGGGACAACAGGGTAATACACATCTGTAGTGGGGCTGAGGAGTCCCTGAGTGATGCAGACAGTCACAGGCCTGAGTGCTAACTCGAAGGTTGGCGAATCAAGTTCACGAAGGGCACCTGGTGATCTACCTCTGAAAAATCAGCCATTGACAATCCTATGGAATACAGTTCTACTGTTGACCCATGTGGGGAGGAATTGACTCGACAGACTGAGAAAGGAGTCATTCTTGGCTTGGGAAATTGTCATATTTTTAGTAGATTGAAGCCCTACGTCACTTATTGGGGACTTTGAGTCAATAAATAATAGTTCCAAATACCTTTTAAAGGAAACTTAAGATGTTGCCGGGAAGTGTCCGGCCGTGGAAGCTCACATTAGAGACAGTGTTTGTGCGTCCCGTCCCTTGAGTCTTCTATGTCCACCCCCAAACCACCAAACCAACCAACCAAACAGCAAAACACTGCTGCTGAGGTGATTCCAACTCAGGGTCTCCGAGACTAGAAATCTGTATGGGAGAAGACAGCTTTATCTTTCTATTGATGAGAGACTAGTGGGTTTGAACTGTCAACCTTGTGGCTAGTAAGCTAACATCTCAGCTTTTTAATGCTGTAGTTATTGTTAGATGACGCTGAGTCAGGCCTGAGGCATAGCAACCCCATGTGCAACAGAAGGAAGCCCTGCCTGGCCCTGCACCATCATGATTGTGTCCATGCTTGAGTGCATTGTTGCAGTTGCCATAGCTGTCTCATTGAGCTCTACTTTACCAAGCACAAAGTCCTCCTCCAGGGACTGATGTCTCCTGACAACATGTCCAAAGTATGAAGTCTCACCATCCTTGCCTCTAAGGTGCACTCTGACCCTACCTCATCTGAGGCAGATAAATTTGTCCGTTTAGCAGTCTGTGGTACTTTCAATATTCTTTGCAAGCACCACAATTCAAATGCACTGATTCTTCCTTATTCAATGTCCAACTCTCACGTGGTATTTATATCAAGAAAGTAAAGCTAATTTAAAATGTGGACAACACACCCTGGATGAAATAGCTATTGGTATGAGTATTAGCAACAAAAGAAGACGTAAGAATATTCAATTGGTAGAAGGACTTCTATTTCAGTTATCCGGGATTCCTGTGGTAAATGATCACCTAGATCAGTGGTTCTCAACCTGTGGGTTGCGACCCCTTTGGGTCACGTTTCATAACAGTAGCAAACTGACAGTGATGGAGTAGCAATGAAAATAATGTTATGGTTGGGGGGTCACCACAACATGAGGAACTGGATGAAAGAGGCGCGGCATTAGGAAAGGTGAGCACCACCGATCTTGACAGTCTAGAGTCTTTGGGCAAGTCATTTTTCTCTCTTAGCCCACCCAAGAAAGCCTTCCCATCTAGAAGGTAGAGAAATCAGGTGGCATGGGATTGAAGGTCTTTTTATCAGCATTTTCTTCTGCCTGCCTCGGAAGCTGATTGTATGCAGTGAAGTGACGGTGGGATTTTGGCTTGGTTTGGGCTCCCAGAGCTTGAGGCCTTCAAGGGTCCCTCCATGATCACACGAAGCTGATGGATCGGAATGTGTTTGTACTCCATTTTCTGTCCCCTGATCAGAGACCAAGTCCTGACTTGGGTCACAGAGGGGGACAGCCCTGCTCCTACTTCTGAACACAGAAGCTTGGTAAGAGGTGCCACCAACCCTTAATGCTAAACCCACTTGGTCTCTGGCTCCTGACAGACACTTTATACAGTGCTCTGGACCCAGACCGGAAAATGGAAAAGTCTGTTGCAGCGTAGTCTGCAGAACAAGGAAAAAACAGCTTTGCTTGGCTTGGCCCATGGCTTCAATATCTTGTAGTTGATTTTTTTATTTTTTGGAAACAACCGACTTTTCATTGTTATTTGCCTTCTTGTGTCTGCGCTTTAGCTGTTACAGAATTTCCCCTCTTCTTATTGTCTAGGGGTTACATTTATTTTTTGTGAATTCTGCCCCCTTAACATGCCAAGACAGACCTAAAATAATAAATCAAAATCTATTGAGCGTCAGAGTACTCCAGAGTGCTGGCATGCAGTCAATCGATAGGACCCTTCTAGCCATAATGCCTTAGGTGATGTGTTATAATTCTGGACTCTGTGCTGTGGGTATGAGACTATTTTGGAGGGAGTTCTCTGTTCCAAAGAAGCTCTGGGGGCATAGTGGTTACTTGGTGGGCCGCTAAACACACAAGGTCATCAGTTCAAAACCACCAGCTTCCCCATGGAAGAAAGGTGAAGCTTTCTATGCCAGAGAGTTATAGACCCCACCGAAGCATTCCACCCTATATAGGCCCTATATAGGACTATATGTCAGTGGTTCCCAACCTTCTCCATGCCACGACCCTTTAATGCAGTTCCTCATGTTGTGACCCCCCAACCATAAAATTATTTTCATTGCTACTTCATAACTCATTTTTCTACTGTTAGGAATCAGGCAACCCCTGTGAAAGGGTCATTCGACCCCCCAAAATAAGGTGACCCGACGTTTCACCTTTGAGAGGACAGTCCCGATTTTTAACAATTTTTCCCGTGTCCTGCGGTGTTTTAAAAAAGTCCCGATTTTTGTAAAGCATGCACGACAAGCTAGGGTATACAGTTT